AAAAACTCTTTCCCTTTCTAAACTAAAATAAGAAAAATTATCTCCCCACTCTTTTATTTATTTCTGTTTCAGCCACAAAGATCCCAATCTGATGGAGATAGCATGTTCTAGTAGTAGGTTCCCCCTGGGCCGTGTTTCCCCAATGGCACCCAACGGGTGTAACCCATCAGCATTTTATTTGCCGGTGATTTAACCCAATTCTGATGTTCTTATGTTTTCCTTTTACCAGAGAGCATGGCAGAATTTATCTCAAGCCAAATAATGTTCCTCACATTCATATTGCTATTCCAATAAAAAAAGTTAGTAGGATTGTAGTATTATCTGGGGGAACAAGAGAATAACCTAGAAAATATGAAAGATTGGTTTTAGCTTTTCAAGGATGCCAGTTAGCCTACAGATACTTTTCAGAGTTCATATTAGACTCACATTAAAAAAAAATTAACTTCTGACAATTGTAACCTCATACTTTTTTATGATGGAATTTTGTTTTAATCATGGAGTAAACTATGTATATTCCTCTCTCATATAGTGACATATAAGACACTGCTCTCATCTTACAAATTTTAGAAATTTGTAAACTCTTAGAAATAAGCAATGAAGATATTTTAAAATACTCATTAGTAACTAAATACAGCACCTTCAGGATTCAGGCCTTTTCTTAGGTTCTTATCATTACATGTTCATCCTTCATATTTAAAACAATTTAACTTCTATATCGGTTTGAATTATATGTTCTAGACATTCCCATATTTAGTAAACTTTAGGCCCTTTCTAAGTATATAGCAGCTACTCTGTTTTATTAACAGTGTTCACCAAATTTATAATAGGCAACTCTTCTACTGAAATTAATAGCCTTGAATTTTCAATGCTCCCAAGCCCTGACTCCTATCTCTGTATATTTCTATTTCTAAGAAAATCTCTGTTAGCCCTGTAATATAGTGGCCATTTTCAAGTTGGTAATTCCTTAGGACAGTCATTTCCAAACATTCTTGCACATTATAATGACCTAGGAAACTTTAAAAAATACTGATGCCTTGGTTGCATGCCATACCAACCAAAGTAGGTGAGAATCGGGTATGCATATTTTATAAAGATTCCTCAGTGATTTCAATGTGCAGCATAGAATTTAAAGGACTTTGAAACCTAGACTTTTATTTTTAAATAATTTCATTGATTTTTCCTCTACCTTAATGCAGCAAGATAAATAGCCATCTAGAGAATAGGTTGAAAAGCAAATTAAGATGAAAATCATGAACCAGTAATCAAATACATGTAAATTGCAACCTCAAATGATATTTTAGACCATTCTAACTAATGAAATAGTTTTTTAAAAAATATTGGAACAAATGAAACATCCTAGTTATTTTCAGAAAGAAAAACAGGTCATCTACAAAATGGCTTTGGACTTTTCAATGGCAATGCTGAAAAATAGAAAATAATGAAAAATTATCTTCAAAATAAATAAGAAAAAAACATTTCCAGCCTAAAAGTTTCTACTAGCTATACATTAAGTGTGAATGCAAAACAACAACAACAACAACAAAAACAGACATTTATGGACAGGGACTCTCTCAAAAGCTTCATAACCTTATGCAGCATTTGTCAAAATATTGCTGAAGCATATGTTCCACTAAAATGAAGAAATGAACCAAGAAAGAAGTGTGGGACCATGAAAGAGGATCCCACAACAGAAAGCTATGGAAGTAATTCCTAGCATGATTGGGAGGTCATAGAACGATTGCTTTGAACCAGAGCAAAACATTCTCATTACATTCCTCTGTAAATCCAGAGGAAGGTAAAGTTCATAGAGCAACTGATGGATCTGTATATACGGAATCAAAATTTAGACATTTCAGCGCTTGTCGATAAGTTAATGATTCAAGTGAAGAAAGCTATGTGAAATATTATACATGAAACAATTGCCAGTCTCAGGAAATTTTTCTGCAGGAAAGGAAAAAGTAAGCATAATATACTCTATTGTTTGGCTTGGGTAAATATCTACCTTGTCATATTAATGTAAAAAGTGATTATTGAGCTAACAAAAAAGACCAAGCCTTTTTTCATATAGAAATATTGGATAATGGGAACATAGAAAAAAAGGCTTGTATTAGTAGAGGTAGGGATGATGTATGTAAAAAGGCTAAATCTTCATCTTCTTTGTGGGCATCAGAAGATGTGACTAAAAGAAAAAACATATTATGTAGAGAAACTGAGGTAAATATCCAAAGAATTGATTAAATGAATTGAAATAATTATCTCTGAAAAGAGAGAAACAGAAATAAGGCAAGGGGATACTAGGCATTTTTGTAGCAAACTTTGTAAAATCAATTTACTCAAAAATTATACTCAGGTTGAAAAAAAGAAAGAAATTAGGCTTAGATATCAGTTTCTGTATGTGGTGTTCCCTGACTAACTTAGGTAAAGTGTAACTCAGATAGAGCTATTTTAGCCCCTAGCCAAAATATTTTTATGTTTCTATATATATAGGTGTCTGCCTAATAACAAAGTTTGTGGCCAGATAATGAAATGTTCTGAATGTCATGTAAACAAAATGGTGGGAAAAGAATGATTTTTAGAATGAGAGCAATGGTTCACATTCTAAATACGAGCATCTTATGTAGGCTCACTGTGCTTTAATTCCCTAAAGCATAAATGATGGAATATTACCTTCTCTCAGAGTTACTATGGGTTAAATATCTATGAATCAGCTAATGTTGTAAGCAAGAAACTTACAACAATTTACCGATTTCTGCTCCTCCTTCTCTGCTAGAGGATAATCTCTTTGTGTCTTCTTCAGTTTTGTGTGCAAAGGTTTTGGGTATTTAGTAAAGGAATGAATAAATGGGACTTATGAAAATGAAAATCCTTGACTTTATGATGAATACTAAATCTGGCATTAATAAGAAATTTCCAGAATGGAGGAATGAGAAACTCAATAAGTTCACTTCTCCAAAAAAGCAACAAAAACACTGGCAACATTATCAAGATTAACCGTTACATCTCTTAAAATTGATTGAAAGCTTACAACAACTTTAAGAGTGTTTATTCAAGAAAAACTGATGAATTTCTGTAAGAACAGAAGGCATATTAAGTTGGCCTACCTTCCCAGTTCAACAGCAGCCTTGCAATCCAGTCGCCTCTAAACAGTAGAAGTTGTAAAACCACCAGAAGCTGGCTAACCAGGTTTGGAGTTCCTCAGAAGGTCCATCCCCAGAGCTTTGCCACTATTCTGCCTGTCTGGTAGCTCCCGAGAAAAGCCTCGCTCAAAGGGCTTTCCATTATTTGACTTGACTGAGAACTCAGACGGTGGGAAAAATTTCTATCTCTAGGGCATTTGTGGAAAATAATCAGAAGATTGTTTAACATTGTATCTGCCTAAGGCTGTGACACTAGTTGGGGCAAGTAAGAGCCTAAACAAAAATTATAAAGGACCTGGAAAATTCGATGTTCTTAGGCAGTTCTGAAAAGCTCTAACATATCTTTGCAATCTGGAGTTTACATTTGCATATAGGGCTTTGTGCATGCCCAGGGAAGTCCTCAGAGAGTCCCAGTATCTCACCTCTGGTGGACCTCAGGTCCTGTGCAAGTAGGAAGTGAAGGGTAAGGTAGAGTTGTAAACTAACTGAGCACTGAAGACATGTCCCCAAACCCATGGAAGACCCTTGGCAAGAGTGGAAGATTTATTGGCTCAAGGCTTTAAAGAAATCTCTAACCAAATATTAGTTTACCACTAAACTCACTAAACAGAGATTTCAGTGGCTGTGTACTCTAGGGAAATGAAAACTTTACCATATTGGCCCAGGTAAGTCACTAAAGAAGAAACAACAACTGCAAGAAAAACCACCAACCACAAACTGTGGGTTGGAGGTGGGAAGACCTGGTTTCCAGAGTTGCCACATTATGTTATCTATTCAATTTTCAACAAAAAAAATATGAGACATGCAAAGAAATAGAAAAGTATAGCCCATGCAGCGGGGAAAAGATCAATAGAAACTATCCCTGAAGGAGCTTAGATATTGGACTTACTGCATCAGGCATTTACAGAGCCATTAGAGACATCTAGATTTTAAAAACTAAGACCAAGAGAAGTAAAAAAATGATCAGCATCAGTGTTCCTTGTGAACCTTGTGATTCTCAATACACATTGTTGTGTGGAATTATTGCTTCAATTGTGAGCATCTCTTTGTGTGTGTGTGTATGTGTGTGTGTATATGTGTGTGGTGTGTGTGTATATA